TACAAAGAGATTGTTGGGCACGCAGCCACTTGGTTGGGTTTCAGCTCCAGTTAACGTGCGCTTCATGACCGATTCCCCAAGGGCGGATGGCGTCCAGCGCGGGCCCATTTAAAACCCCAATCTCAGCCGCACGCATTAATTACTGATTGTTCGAGCTGCAAACAAATCAACTGCAACGAGGCGGTGCTTGAGTGGATAGCGCTCCACTCAAAGCCCCACAAATGTATTCCTAGGCGTGCTTTGATGATGCTCACCGAGGGGGATTGGGACACGAGCCACGTCTAGATGGCCAAACCCCTTTTAGCGACAAATCTCGGCCAGAAAGGCCAGTCGCTGGCTAAGTGCATGGCAATGCCCCGCTGGGGGTTGTTTGCCGCGCTGCGGACCCAAAAATTTGTTTGTCTCTAGTAAACAACGCAGTACAGCACGCTGAAAAAAATAAAAAGCTGTCCCCGTGAAGCCCCGGGGTAGGTTTTCCTCTGTTTGAAAAGCATTTTTAATAAATTTCCCAAACCAGCTGAGAATTTATTTCACTTACATGGCGTATGATTGGGCGTGGGAGGCAGCGGGCGCACCTTGTCCGGGGGGCAGCGACGCTGAACCATGACCGTCGCAGGGAGGGGAATGGCTGTGCCGCCATTGACCTTCGCGTAGGCGGGCGCGATTTGTCTGTAATGAGCGAGAAGTTGTTTTTTGGTACATTAATAAAGCCCTTAAAAATCGTGGAGCCACAGGCTCATCATACATGCACTTCTAAATATATACTTTATGGGGGTTCATTTATATTTTTATGCTCTTTCTTGTTTTTACGACGCACGCCCACGCGACAGCCGCGTTTACAGCTTGTCTGCGTCGTGATTTGCATGAGTTGCGGTCACAGTTTCTGTCAGTTGCATATTGCCTTGCACTTATCTTTAACAATTTATACAAACTGCAACATAAAAGCATTTCTGCGCTCGCCTGCGACGCTGATAAATGAATAAATGCACTGGACCCCTTGTCCTGGTCCTAACCGCAGAACTTGCCAATTGCAGTAAATATTTTAACAACAGTTTTACGATGCGATTGCGCGAAATCAAATAAAAGAACGAAGCGTGCCCATAAATACGCATGTCGTTGCGAAAAGATACTTTTGTATCTTTTATACATATGTATATACGTGGGCTCGTTAACGGCGTAGCTGAGTAGCTGAACAGCTGAACAGCTGAACAGCTGAGGAGTCTCCAGCTTTTTCTCTTGATTAGCCGTCAATGCGATTTCGTGCAATTAAATAAACCGCTTGCATTTTTATAGAGTCAATTAAATTTCATTAGCAATTTAATGGCATTTAAATTGGCTTTCAAACTGTTTATAAGAAATCAAAACTAATTGAACTTGATTACAAACAGTTCAATGATAATTAAACCATTGGGATTTATTAATTGTCTGACTAAATGATGCAAGATATGCATACACAAATTTAAAATATATTTATATCTTTACTAATTTTTTTGACTTTCTATTGAGATTTTAAATTTTGTAGAATTTTATAAATTGATTTAAAAAATATATATTTAGTTAATAATAATAATTATAATAAAAAAGACAAATTTTGTTTTAATATTATTAATTCCACAGTATTGAAATACTTTTACCCATTTATAAATTTAATTATATCCTCAATGAATGAAATAATTGGCAAAATAATTAGTTATGATAAGGTAAGACTTCATTAAATGAGATTTTAATAAGGAATGATGAAGTTTTGCTACATAAGGGAAACTAGAAGAATATTAATCTTTTTTCATTTCTTTTCATATAATAAAAAGTTTTTATGCAAGTAAGTATTTCCTTAATATATGCAAATCATACTACAGCTAAGCTGCTACCCAACACACACTCCCACACACACACACACACCCATAGAGCAAGGCAAATGGCTTTTCCATTTCTTAGTCAACTTCGCTTTTTTTTGCAATTACTCCAAACGCTGATTAAAAACGCAAATAAAGTAATAAAAGAGACCGAGGTAAACTTTTAATAAGTCGCGCGCATAAAGCTTAGCAGGGGGCGCAGACAAAGCGCGGGCCGAAAGATACAATTGTGTCTTATTGTTGTTGGCCATTAATAAGACAGGCTAAGTGAAATAAAAATGAAAGAAAAACTGCGCGCAGCAATTGTATTAAAACAGCTCATAAAAAACAGCAGCCAAGCGCGACGCAGACAAATGAAGTTGGCAGCTGCGTTGACGTCGACTCTGACATTGACTCGTCTCCGGGCTCCTTCTGCCAGGATGCTTTGGGTCCTTTTTGGCTCGACAGCTCGACTGCAAATTAAATACAGCAAGACTCCGGCTAGAATCGGAGATGTTTCGGATGCTTTCATCGGGCGTCTGAAGAATTTCTCCCAAATTACTTTTCATATAATTTTATTTGCTGTTTGCATTTTATTGTTGCGACTCGCTTTGCCGCCAACTGTTTTGGCCATGTTCCACGCTGCTTGCCAAAGCAGTCGAGTTAAAAGCCAAAGCCGTATGTCTGCTGAGCTTTATTCGCTTCGACAGGGATGTCGATTGTCTGTCTGCATATGGAAAAAGCTACAAGTTCCTACAATGTGTCTATGCAAGCGTCATATGTGCACGGGCTGCTCGAAAAGTATCGAAGCGAAAGGATTTAGTAGCAAAAAGTAGTGCTAGAGCTTGAAAAGACTTTATTTCAATAGATTTTTAAATTATTAATATAAGTCAGCTGGCAGAATGTTCTAGAGCCTTTGCCTTGATTTGACTGTACTGAAAGATACACTAGTTAAACTGTCTAACAAGTAATTTATTAAATGGTTTCCAGTGAAGTGCTTCTTCTAATATTTACTTGAAAGTATATATCTATACTGTCAATAGATTTACATCCGACTTGTTACATCTCTAATCCCATTTAGATACGTCTTCTAGGAAACAGAACTTCTGTGGCGACTCTCGCTGCATGGCTAGCTGCTTGGAGCAACATCTGAGCTTGTTAACTGGCAAAATGTATTCAGAGTATCAGCAGCTTTGCATCTCCCAGTTTCAGGTGTCGCTTGCTGTCGAATGCTCTTGCAACGCTTTGTTTCTGTTGTTGTTGTTGTAGTTGTTGTTGGAGTGGCTGCTGCTGCTGTTTCTGTTTCAGTTTGCATAGAGCGCAAATTGAATTTTGCGTCTTTATTACGCATTTTTGATTTGTAGCTGTGCGCGGATTTCAATTTGTTGTGCACTGGGAAATGTCTTTGACCTTTGAGGGAGCGAGTGTGTGTGTGCGTGTATGTGTATGTGTATGTGTGTGTGCGAGGCTCATAATAGCCTGACTGCTGTTCCTGATGGCATTCACCTGTGTGGCACGGCCCACGCAGCAGTTGCCGCAGACCAGTTACTGAGAGAGGGGAGCCAACTATAAAGCGCGTCGTTGACGGCATTTGCTTGTATAAATATGAAAGAGTCGCCCCGCTCGCACTCGCACCCGCTGGGGCGCCTCCACTGGCTGCCCATTAGTTGCATTTGCGTTGCATTGGTGTTGCTTTTGTTGCCGCACAATGCGACACTCGAGTTGCATTTGTCATGCCAGCAGCAGCAGTAGCTTCTAAGAGCCAGCCACCAAATGCGTGGCAGGATCTGGCTACGGGGCCGGCCGGGGACACGGGACACGGGACTCGGGACTCGGGACTTGGGACCCGGAACCTGGTACTTGGGACCTGGAGCCTGACCATTTCGGGCTATTGCCAGTTGCCTTATTTGAGCAGCGGACAAGTTGCAACTCTTTCGCTTTTATTATGCTCCCAACATATTTACGATTTGTTGCCAACGCCGTTTATTGCTAGAAGCGGTTTCTTCTCCGCTGGGCCCTTGGCTGGGCTGCAGTTGCCTGCAGTATCTCTGGCTTTATTTGTCTTACACGCGATAAAGATTGACAGGCGATAGGAGCAAAACAAATATACCAAACGCTAGCAGAATGACGGATTTCTCTATATTTATTTTATAAAGAGCTCCGATCTAATTTAAAGGTACTTTATGATATCGAACACTTCTCCTTCTGTTCTTTAGATTATATTATACTCTGCCTTTCATTACGATTATGCTTTAAGCATGACTTCTAGTAGTTTTAAAATTTACATTTAAGATGTGAAACTTCGAAATATTGATGCGAAGCTCAAGAGATGATTGCAAGGTGAGAGCTAACAAGGAAAAAATAATGAAACCAATTTTTAATTATTAATTCTTACCATTTTATTTTTAAGAGACTTGTTTTTTTAATGAAAATTTATGTATAATATATTTCATATCTATAATTTAGAGATTCTCTTGAGCTAATTAATTCCCATCTCAAGGAAGTCTTTAGAAATCTAAAAGATAGTTCACAGCTAAGAAATATGTCTTTTCTTTCTAGAATAGTCTCTACTTTGCGCAATTCGAAATGTGGATTCGTTCATGCACTCGTGCCTTATGACATACTATATTTAGAATTTGCAATCTGGGAAAGTTTATTCGTTTTTGGTCAGCTCACTTTCACTCGTTCGGGTGTTATTTAAGCCGCGCACAGCTTAGACTGAGGTGAGTGCATTAGATAGCCAGCGAGCACCTCCAGCCACCGGCCAAAGCAATTTCCCGTCTATTGCTAACCCAAAAACCTTTTGAACCCGGCCCCAGCCGTGGTTGAGATGCAGTTTATGCCGTTAAGCTGAGAATAAATGTGTATATATTCATAAATTTAGCCACAGCGATTTTTTCAGGCTACTGCGAACGAGTCGAACGAGCTGTCAGCCGCAATAGCAAGAGACAAGAGCTGGCAGGAGCCAAGAAATTTATGTGAGGCGAAAACATGGCCGAGTCATGAGCTGACTGGCTTGGCTCGCTGGCCCAGCTTACTGGCCTAACTGCTGGCTGAAGAGTTTTCGTGAGCATTTTGAGTAGGTGTTGAATGGTTGATAATAAGCGTAATTATGTGCCATTGATATGCCCACAGGAGTGGCCAAGCAGTTGAAGATCGCTCTGGAGACAGACAAACTCAACAGCAGACATCTGCTGCTCAGGGGACTGACGGACGAGCATCAGACGTGCAGTTAGAAAAGCGCCATAAACCTGTTCGACTTCAAGAACAGACTGACATATATAAATATATATGAGCTCTGGAAGCAGAAAGATGTTGGCTAGGAGCAGGAAATTTAACTGCCAACAGAACTTGATAGGTCAATTGTATATTCTGCTCATATTTCTAGCTGAACGTTTAGCTATAAGTTTTTATACACAAGATCGGACAGGTGGTTTATTATTATTATTATTTTCACAGAAGACAAAGGATAAACCTTAATCTATAAGATGGCTAAAATCGAGTCTTCATCTCGATTTCAGTCTGCATATTTATAGTCAACAATTTCGAGTAGTTCTTATTGCTTACAGTTCGCGAGTTGGGCACGATTCTTGAATGGAAAGCAATCTTTTAGCCTGCAAGTTTGACAGCTTTGTTCACAACAACGAGCCATGTCATTAGAAATTGTAATGCGACACGCTGGCAAACGTGTTCATCTTGAAAGTCGTGTAGCCCCTCCTCTGACTCTGAGCGCGACTCCAACTTCAACTCTAATTCCTCTGTGCCAGGCACCAAGACTCGCACTCAGTCATCAGATACACACGCACACTCATACGAAACGGCTTGAGATACTTTACT